GAGGGCGAGCGCCACCCTTGGTTGCATAGCCAGAAGTGTGGCTTCTAGATCAAGAGAGGTATCACTACCACTCTACACGACTCTGGTGCGCCCGCAACTGGAGTATTGTGCTCAGTTTTGGGCCCCTCATTACAGAAGGGATATAGTCAGGTTGGAGTCAGTGCAGCGAAGGGCCACAAGGTTGGTGGCCGGTTTGCAGGGGAGGCCAGATGAGGCGAGACTGAGGGAACTGGGTCTCTTCAGCCTGGAGGAGACTCAGAGGGGATCTGTTGGTGACATACAGGTATGTGAGGGGATGTCACATGGAGGTGGGTAGAGACCTGTTCTCTCCTGCAGAGGAAGACAGAATGCGCTCCAACGCAGCAAAGCTCAGGGACCCAAGGTCCAATTTGGATGCCAGGAAGCACTTCCCGACAGTCAGGACCCCGAGGGGGTGGAATGGGCTTCCACGGGAGGTCGTTGAGGCCCCATCGGTGCGGGTGTTCAAGGACAGGCTGGACGTCCACATGGTGGGCATGTCATGAGCGGAGCCGACTTAAGCTGGGAGTCAGATCAGATGGTCCAGGAGGCCCCTTCTGACTCGCTCTGTTTCTATGTTCTGTTACAAGGTCCATCCTGTTGGGGATTTCTGGGAGTTACCCCAGCCCAGTGGCAGGAACCCAAGTGAGGGATCCGGGCTGCGTTGGGATGCGCTGAGGCGCACAGCCAGCCCTCCCCTCTGGGTGCGCCTGACTCCGTGCTCTTGTGGCAAAAAGCGGGGTTCCTCCATGTGGGGGGCACCACGCTGGGGAAGGCGGCTGTGGGCCGCCAGGCAATGGAAAGAACGGGTCCAGCAGCTCCGGCAAATTACACCTCCCCTGAGCAGGCTCATTCCCCGCTCAGTAATTAAGTCCCTTGCAAAGCACTCCCTGCCCTGCGTGGGGCAGAATCCGCAGCTCAGAGGAGCAGGTGGGAGGCAAATTAGCCCCCTGGGGCAGCAGCAGGTGGGGGAGCACATGGGGGGGTGCTCAGAGCAGCCCAGCCCAAGCCAGTACACTGCCGCCTGACAGCAGCTGCCTGGGGAGTCAGGCGGTTCCTGCCCACAAAACTGGGATTTGGCTGTGCAGCACCGAGCACCCAGGTGTCCTCAGCCAAGCAGCCCCGTCCCAGAACTGGCCCTCTGGCGCTGAGGCGTATGTCCAGAGGTTCTCTAGCGGACTGGCTCGGGTGCAAAACCACCTTCCCGAGAGCTCCCTGGCTGTGCCGACGGCTGCTCTGCACGCACTCTCTCATAGCACTTCTAGGGTGCTGCTCCTCAGACCCGAACCCGAACCCTTCGGAGGTCAGTGCCGAGGAGGGCAAGATGGGGGAGGCAGGAAGTCTCTGCGAAAGGTGGAAGTGGGGCTGGAAAGCACCGATCCTGCCCGCCCGCTGCACCCAGACAGAGGGCCTTGGTACTTTGCAGGCGGCCCAGGTGGGGCGCCGGTGGCCAAAGGGAGACGGAGCGGGCAGCTGGGCCCAAATATGGAGTGTGACGGCGCCTTTTCCACCCCCCTCCCTCGGCTGGCCTGCCCTCCTCTCCTCCTGCAGGGCACTCGATCTGCAGGGCCACCGGGCATCGGCAGGGCCGGTCCCCCAGGAAGGGCAGCAGAGCCGGGCAGCGCCGGCCCAGCACGCACTCACCGTGATGCCCTCGTAGTCCGCCATCGTGCCCGCGGGGGAGCCGGCGACCGGTGCTCGGGGCGCCTTCCCCGCTGGACCCCGAGGCGGCGGGGCCCGGCCGGGCGGCTCTGCTGCTTCGGTGCCGAGCCGGGAATGCCTTGTTTTTCCCCGCCAGGTGCCAGCAGGCAGAAGAGCAGCCGGTCCCGCCTGCCAACGCCCAGGGGGCCGGGTTGCCACACGAACGGCCTGGCCAGCCTCCAGCAAGGTGTTTATCCGCGGCAGCCCGGCTGGCTCTCCGCTCCCACCTCTCCAGGCTCTGCCGCTCAGCCTGCCAGGTGCCCTGAAGGGGCCTCCGCCTCCCGGAGGCCCAGGGCCCGGGGCTCTGCCTGTGGGATTTCAGGCGGCAGAGCTGGCCTCCCTGGGGCCCCGAGCTGCCTCTGCCGCTTGCTATCCCAGCAGGCGACCAGCTTTGCAGAATGGGGGGGGGGCACGAGAGGCTGCCCGAAGGGCCTCATCCTGCTCCCCACGTGCTGCCCGAGTGCAGCCCCTGGCACAGCCAGCGACCCAGCGACGCGCGGAAGGGCACGTCCCGCTCCCCCGGAGGCACTGGCACTGCTCCACTGTGGGACATGCTCCAGGCCACATGCCCCCCCCCCCCCGGAGGAGCAGGAGGCCACGGGCCACATCCTGAGCCCGCTTCCTCGCCTCCCAACAGGACAGGTGGAAGATGTGGCCTGGGTCACCCGGCAGAGCGGCTCCACCCACCACATGCCAGCAGCAGCAGGATCCTGGCTCCTGCCCACGCCCCCTGGAAGCCTGCGCACGGCGGGCAGAGCCTGGAGCAGCAGACGCCGCCGGGGCCCGCAGCTCCCCGGCCTCTGCAGGAGCAGGCGGCCCTCCAGCCCCCGTGCTCCCCGCCACCCCCCCCCCCCCCCCCCGGTTCACGTGAGCCGCCCTCGCGGCCTCCAGGGCCCAGCCACTTCCCCATCCCTGCCCACCGACACGGACGAGCGCGCCACAGGCCCGGAAGAACCAGCACAGCCGTTCAGGGTTTTGGCATCGAGGCGCGATCGTGCGGGCGATTTTTCAGAATGGCATTTTCGCAGACTGGGGGGCCTGGAAGATCCCCTCTCGCAGGACGGCCTGGCCACACTCGCCCGACTCGGAAAGGTGAGTGCACGGCAAGGAAAGAAGCGTCGCAGTGGGAGCGTTCTGGCTGATGCCTCTGTTCAAAAGACTGTGTTTTTAATCGTTAAATGAAATGCTGAACAGAACATTCCTCAATTATTAACAGCAAACATCACTTTTAGGAGCCGTGGGCTAAGCTCGTCTCCACAGGACCGATGTGAGACATCCGGAGTGCTGCTCCAGCCCTGTGGACATCTTGCAAAGGTTTTCTTTCCATCTTGGTCACTCATGCCACTAGTCCACATGGAGAGCATGCACTTGGCTTCCCGGCTCTCGCGGGAGCGGGACAAAGGGTCTAGTGCTGACGGCACCCGAGCCCCACGCCAGGAGCCAGGAGCGCTTTATCTGGGAGTCCCGAGGGGCGGTGGGTGCTGCGGGCAGTCCCAGAGTCAGGCCAGCTCTGCAGCCCCCGTCTCGCCTCCGCCCCTGCAGCTCCGGGAGACTTTCGCACGTGATGCTCGCTCCGCCCCGGGCCAGGTGTGCCTCTAGATGCCGGGCCGGGCGCCCTCAGCACCGCAGCGCCCTCGAGGCCCCTCCGCACCAGGCTCCCGTCTGGCCGTGCGCCAGGTGTGTGCTAGGCCAGGGCCAGGGGGCGGCTTGCGAGAGGCCCTCCTCCGTCCCGCCCGCCGTCCAAGGCCTCGTCCTGCTCCCCGCAAGTGCTCGCGTGACTCTCCACGTGCACCGCAGCGTACGAAAGCTGGCAGATGGGGCAGGGAACCCAGGCCTCCGTGGGCTCGTCCCACGAGGAGGAAGGCGAGGCGGCGCCGGCTCTCTCGTCCGCTTCTCCGCAGCCCGAGGCATGAGCGGGCAGGAGGCTGGTGGGAAAGCGGCCTGCGAAGAGCGGGCGGAGATGGAGAGGCTGCCCCTGCGACCAGGGCAGCGCTGCTCGTGCCTCCCCCCCGCGGAGCCGCGGCATCTGCACGCCCCCTCCCGCGATGGCCTGTGCCCTGCTCCTGCAGCTGCACCGCCCCAAAGCCAGCCCGGCCACCAAGACACCGACCAGAAAGAGCTGGCAAGGAACGCCAGCAGAGGCGGCTTCAAAGCCCGCCCTGGCCTTCAGCCCGAGCATGCCCGGGCCTGTGGGCTGGGGGGCACGTGTGCCCCCACGGCACGGAGCTGTGTGTGCTCAGGGCAGAATTCAAGCAGGCCCCTGGCCAGGGCCACCTGAAAGCCCTCGAGGGCACCTTCGCCACGGGGCACCCGGCCTCAGCAGGCCTTCCGGCCTCGGCAGGGAACCGGGGAGGGCGGGCTGGGGGGGGGGGGAGCACTGCACCAGGGCCTCGCTTGGCCTTACTCACCGGCGCAGATGGGGCACGTGCCAAAGCCCACGTCTGACCCCCGTGGCCTGTTCCCGTCCTGCTCCTCCTCCTCGCTGTCACCCTGCACGTTCCTCAGCCTTCCCCTCTGGCCTTCAGTTCTCCTCTCCCTTCGGGACCCGTTTCGAGACCTGGCAGAAGGGACTGCCGGGGACCTGTGGAGAGTGCTCGTTTTGAAGGTTGTCCGGCTACTGAAGGCTGCTAATGACACATTGTTTATGTAAAATTACTTTCCTATCCCTTTTATCCCAATGGCTCACAAAACCGCCTTTATCAATTGTCTTTCATGAATGCTTTACAGCAGAATTTAGAATTCACGGAGCAGAATTTAGCTCAAGTTGGAACTCTTCCAGCCTTGGCAAAGTCTCAGCGGCCGACGCGGCACTTCCAGGGGCCCAAGCTCTGCCTGGCACCGCGAGTCGCGACCGGCAGAGCTGCGCCCAGAACGGCAGCCAGGGAAGGTCGTGAGCACGGGAGCCGCGACGGCCCGGCAGTCCAGCTCCGGACCCTGGGCCAGCAGGAGTTTTCAAGGGCTCTCCGGAGGCAGGTCTGTGCCCAGCAAGCCACAGAAGCGCGACTGGGCCGGCAGCCAGGCGCGCCTGCAGCCGGCCTGAGAGCCCCAGGTCTGAGCGGGAACGGGCGGAACACCCGATTCAGCTGCGCAAACACACGCCTGGCCGCCACTGAGCCTGGGCATTCAAGTTCGGGACTGAATCCGGAAGAGGAGGAGGAGGGAGGAGGATTTCTTCGTCAAGCAGCTTAACATAGCTGGAATATGTCCTCTAAAACGCCAGGACTCCCCGAAGGATGGAAACACGAACAAGAGCCAAGCCGAGCCACCGCTCCAGGCGACCCGACCGTGCGCTGGGGCCTTCGCAGGGAGCAAGAGGCGCCTGCACAGGATGCGTCCGTGTTCCCTGACCTGCCTTTCCAAAGTGGGAAGACGTGGCCGGGGGCTCGCCCGGCCAGCCAACCAGCCCATGCCGCCCCTTCGTCGTTCCAGCACCCAGCTTTCGAACCGGGAGGTGCATCCCATAAGGGCTCCTGGAACCGGAGGAAGGGGATGCAGGCGCGGCCCAGTTACCTCTCCAAGCCGCGGCTGGTTCCCCTTCTTCTACTTGCTTTCAGTCGCTCTCTTCTCACGGGCAATTCCTGACCGGACCCTGCAGTATAAACCAAACCAGCAACGGTATGTGGGTCGGAAGGGCATATCTGCCACCCGCCTCTGCAGAGCAGCCGTGCGCCAGGCGTCCCCGAACGGACCGCTCCCACGGTGCGGACGGGGGATCGCCAGGGGCCCAAATCACCTGCCGCCACCGCAAACCCACCACGAGTCCGTCAACCAAAGCGCTGGCAAGGCCCCGTAGTCAGACCGCCACACTGGAGCCCACGCAAACCCTTGGGGTGCCGCTGGACACGGCGTGGGCCACGGAGAGCTGGGTTCAAACGCCCAGTGCCACCGTGTCCTCGGGCAGCCCCGGCAGTCTGTGGAAGCCCCTCTCGGTCAGCCACCAACCGTCCCCAGGGATGCCCCCTGCTGGCTCTCTGGCTGGCAGAAAGCAGCCCTGGGAAGTGGGGAGAGGGGGGCGTGCAGGGCCCCCTTCGGCCCACGTACGCTATTTTTGGACATCATAACCCTACCGGCCTGCCCCGCAGGGACTGCAGCGCCTGGGGGGGTGCGTGATTTCGCTCAAGAAAAAGGCACGGGAGGGCCCCTCCCTCCCCGGCTGGGTCGGGCGCCGGGCGCCACTCGCGGCTCTCGGGGAATACGCCCAGCTTGCCCGCAGCCGCCCTGCCAGGGTCGAGTGAAGGCTGAAATAAGAGCAGCCGGCGCCTGCAGGGGCTCTGAGACCACGGTGCTCTCCATCCCTACGCCTGGTCTCCTCCTAAGCCGAATGGCGTGTGGCGTGGCGGGCGGGCGGGCAGGCCGGGGGGCGCTGCAGTGCCGCCGCCCCTCTCGGCCGGGGGAGCGTGTCTGGAGCCGTGCTGGAGCGGCCTTGGGGTGCCGCGGCCGGGCAGCTGAGGTGTGGCCGGCGCGCTCCGAGCAGTCGGATCCTTGGCAGTCCCTAGCACTGCCCTCCGAGAAGGCCCTTACGCGCTGTGGGGGGACCCCGAGAGGCACTCTGGGCCGGTCCCGGCGCGACGGCGCTCACGGCCAGGGGGAAGACCCTCTTGCGGGCACTCGCCGCCTTCAGCACCATCCTGGCCGGGCGGCTCATGCAGGCAGGACTCCGGGGCTCAGGGCTGGAAGCGGGATCCAGCTGCTGCAGGTGGGTTCTCAGCGCTGCTTCCTCCTCACTGCTCCTGCAGACAGAGCGAGGGGCAAACATACTCGGCTCCAGAGGACATGATCCAGCCTCCAGTCCAGGGGGAGAGTGCGGGGGCCCTGAGCCGGGGCCTTGTCCCTGAAGCTCTCGAGCGAGGTCCCATTACTGACGATCAGCCCATGCAAGAAGGGACTTACGGTGCCGTTTCCGGGAAGTACGTCCGACAGATGGCCGCATTAGAGAGCCATGGGCTGCTCTTGAGCTCGGGAGGAACCTGTGGGCAGCAAAGGGAGAGACGCTCGAGGGATCCAGTTTGAGCGATACGAACAACGGAAGGAGAAAGCCAATGAAAGGCTGCAGCCTAGACCCCGGAGCTTTTCCTACAAGGCCCAATTCAAGCACTCCAAGCCCTGGCTGCCCGGAAAAACCGCGGCGGTATCGCCCTCGCCCAACGGCCTCTCACAGGCCCGCACCTGGCTAGCGGCAGCCGGCTCCGCTGTGCTGTCCTCTGGGTCCAGCGGAGTGCGGACGCAGATGAAGGCGAGGCCAAACTGCGTGTGCCTGTTGAAGGGCTGGCTGCAGGTGAGCCGGACGCGGTCCCACTTCTCGGCCCGAGCCGAGGCCAGGAAGTCCCCTGCGGGCAAGGCGAGGAGGCGCTCAGCAAGTCAGCCAAGCCGCCGAGAGCGCCTGGGGGCACCCGCGGATGCGTGGCGCCCACTTCTTTACCTTCTTTAAACATCCGGACCCCGGAACGGTTCCTGTCCAGCTTGGCGTCGGCAGGCGCCATCAAGGCGGTGGCGGGCAGCAGCGTGCGGTAAGGCTGGTCCCGCGGCCAGGAGGACCGCCCCACGTCTATCTGAAGGAAGGCAGAGCCGCAGTTCCCTGGAGACGCAGCAGAACAGACACTGGCACCCGAGGACTCTGCCCTGGCTCCCGGCCAGACGGCGCCCCTGCTGGCACGGCCCCCCCGTGTCCCGCAACAGAGCCGGGCTGCCGCGGCGCCACGGATTGTCCACAAGCACTCCAACTGCTCAGGGCCTCTCGGCGCTGTCATTGCATTTCGCTGCTTTGATGGCACAACGCCGACACTCCCCTCTGTGGAAAGCCACGGCTAAATCCCAGAGGCAGCCCCCCGGCCGCTCCCTGGGCCCCGAAGAGGCAGGCACGGGGGCTGGCTGGGCTCGGCACCACGGGAGCTTATTTTCCTCCAGATGACGACTCCACCCCCAGCTCAGCGCAGGACACCCTCTCAGAGGGCTGCCCAGTTGAATGCCTCTGGCATGGGAGAGCCCACCGCCCCCCTTGGTCCCTGGTTCCATTGCCGTACTGCTCTAACAATCAGGAAGGTCTTCCTGGTATGTATGTATGTATTTTATTTTATTTAAAGTATTTATATGCCGTCCTGTTGCGAAAGCCTCAGGACGGCTCACATAGATAAAATACAATAAAATATAACATAAAATTATCGACCCAATCGATATCTATCCACAGTCCGGCTTCCTGCAAGTTGAGCCTGTTATCCCATGTCCTGCACTCAGGGATGATCAAGGAGAGACCCCGGCCCTCCTCTTTGTGCTGGTTTTCCAAGGACTGGAAGAGTGCTAGCATGTCCCCCCGCCCCCCGCCCAGGCTTCCCTCCTCCGGGCTCAGCATGCCCAGTTCTTTCCATCTTGCCTCGGAGGGCTTGGTCCCCGGTCCCCGGATCGTCCTTGCTGCCCTCCCCTGAACCCTTCCCAGCTTGCCGGCACCTTCCTTCAGCGGTGCTGCCCGGAACGGGATGCAGGACTCCAGAAGAGGCACAACCAGTGCTGAGTCAGGGCGGATCTAATACCTCATGGGATCTGGAAGCGATACTTCTATGAAGGCAGCCTAAGACGGCAGTTGCCCTTTTCGCAGCCACATCACATGGTTGGGCCACCTGTAGCTTGACTCTTGATGCATTCTGCATTATTGCTGGGCCCACGGAGAAACAGCCCCGCACACGGCGCTGCGCCCGAGCGAGCCCGGCACTCTGCGGCTCCCTCACCCACGTCGATGTAGCTGATGCGACACGCTCGCTCCAGCTGCAGCTCCGCTTTCAGCGGCCGGCTCCGATCGCGTGGGCAACAGAGCCAGGGCCGAGGGCCTTCTTCGCGAAGCAGGTTCTCCACTGGGTGCTTGGGATCCTGCCATGGGATAAGTTGGGGGTGGGGGGAGCAGGGGACCGAGGAAAGAATGTAAGAACTTGTCCCCCAGCCCTGGCACAGAGAAGCCCAGGAGGTTCCAGTATGGAAAGCAACCTCCTGCTTCTCCCGCCCAGAGAAGCCCCCGGAAACACGCACATGACGCCCAGTGAGACCCCAGGAGTGGGAGGCAGCTGAGGAACAATGTGGCCATGATCTGCCTCTTTCTGCCTCAGGGCAACTCTTGGTAAGGGAATTAAAAGCAATAAAGCAAGTAGTTACAGTTTGGAACCAAAAGAAGCTAGGCATGCCAAGTAGGAAACTGCCTTTTAAACTTTTGCTTAAATTTGCAACTATAGCTTTTCCTATTGTTACATGGTTGTTAATGTGCTGATATACTGCATGTTTTAAGCTCAACTTATTTCCTAATGAAGAATCCCACAAATTCTTAGAAAGCCAGAAAAGCAGAGGAGGTACCTCAGATGTGAAAGACACGATGTATTTGACCTTCACAGGGGCCATTCCCTCCCCTTCTCTGGTTGCCTGCCGTTGGCCACAACTTTCACCGGCACGTACGAGGCATCGTCTTTGCAGGTTGCAGCTGGTCCTGGAAAAAGAGATGTGAATTAAATGTTCAGATGTCCTTGCCAACAAAGGCACCCCCTCAGTTCCCTCCTGAATAGATACCCCACAGCATCTCCCCATGTGCATTTGCTCAGAAATAAGCTTGCTCAGCATTCCTGGCAGGGACTGCAGTCCCGTGGATGCTGAACTTACCTTCGGGGAAACATGAGCAGGACTAGACAGCCATGTGCCACTGCTGTTTCCCCCACATTGTATTGTTGACACGGTGCTGCTGCCCCGAGCCTTCAACTGATCTCTGACTCATGAATGAAAGCCCCCCAAACGTCCCATCCTGGCCAACCCTCCCCAGCTCTTGTCAATTCCAGGCTCTGGCTCCCTTTACGGAATCGGCCCATCTTGCATTTGGTCCTCCTTTCCGTCCTCTCATGACACGTCTGAAGTACAACAGCTTCAGGTTTGTAATTTGGTTCCAGGGCAAATCCTGACTGGACTCGATCCAAGACCCGCTTGTTCATCTTTCTGTCAGCCCGGTGTATTCACAAAGCCCGTCTTGAGCACCGTGTTCAAACATACCCATTTTCTTCCTTGTCCACTTTCTTCACTGTCCAGCTTTCATATCCCTACAGAACGATCGGGAGCACAACAGTGCAGATGATGCGGGCCTCGCTCCCTAGTGACACCTCCGTTCACCTGATCTTATCTAGCTCTTCCATAGTCAAGGTTTTTGTTTTCTTGATGTTCAGCTGCAGTCTTGCTTTTGCACCTCCTTCTTTCAATTTCATAAGGAGTTATTTCAATTCATTGCTGCCTTCTGTGAGTAATACAGCATCATCCCATATCTTAAATTATCAATGTAACTTGAACCAACTTTCCTTCCTTCCTCTAATACTAGTCCAGCTTTCCTTATGATATAATCTGTGGACGGATTGAACTGGTAGGGAGATAAAATACTCCCTGATGTTTTTGCTTACAGGAAACTATTCTGTTCTCCATATTGTGTCGTAACAGCAGCTTCACATGCACGATGCAGCTCATGCGCTAGGCAAGCAAGTTGTCACTAGGACAAACACCCCCCCACCATTTCTTTCACGACCACCCACACGTGCCTGGGGACCACACAAGGTCCCTGCTGCAGCCCAGAAGCACAGACGGCTCTTCGTCTGAAAGCCTCTGGTACGCTCCAGAAGCCACCGCTGGCTTGCAGTATGATCTCCAGCGCCGCCTCCTTTTGCAACCCCGCTCGACCCCGGGGCCACGTCCCCCGCGGCATCGCGTTGCGGGCGTGGGGAGCAGCGCCGTGGCCCCCCTTCCGCACCCCCTCCCGGGAGGGCCGGTCCTTTCGCTCGCCGTACTTGCCGGCATCGCGCGGCTCGGATTCGGCTTGCTCCCTTCCACCCGCTTGCGCCGCTCCGCGTCCGCGGCCTTCTCGCCTCTTCGTGGCAGCGGCGAAGAGGTGCAGCCCGGGCGCGGCGCCCACCCAGACACCGCTCGGGACGGCCCCGGCCGCCACGCGAGCCGGCCCGCGGACGCCGCCCCGAGGCGCGCGGGCGGGGGATGATGGGTGCTGCGGGACCCGCCGCCCCCCCCCCCCCCGGAGCGCACCTTGGGCGCCGAAGGGCCGCGGCGAAGCTCCGAATCTCCCGCCAGGCCCGCCGCGCGTGACGTAACGCGCCGCTTTCCCATTGTCTTCCGCTTTGGGGACATGGAGCGTTCGCAGCCCGCGCCGCCGCGGCGCATTCTGGGAGTAGTAGTCCTCTTCGCCCCGATGTCGCGGGAGGCGGAAACCTTTCCAGGGAGCATCTCTCAATCTCCCTCTCACGTATAAGCGCAAACTCAGGCCGCGTGCCCCGCAGGCCATTCCCGCGGGGCCGCGCGGCGGCGTCTTTCGGAGCAAGCCCGAGAAGGCGTCACCCGGCTGCGCCCTCCCGCTCAGAGGCCCGTTTGCGCGCAATGGCGATCCAGCACAAGTCAGACGCGCCCTCGCGCCCGGCGCAAGCCGTTCCACTTTCCCTCACGTCCGAGCGCTTGGCCCCGCCCCCGCGTGGCTTCCCATTGGCCCCTTCGAGCCGAAATCTCCGCCTGCCGATTGGTGGAGCGCGAGCCGGCGGCGGGCGGTGATTGGCTGGCGTCGGCGGAAGCGCGTTGGCCACCTGGCCGCCGTCTGACGGGCGGGCTGCCTGGCTGGCGGTGAGGGCCAAAATGGCGGCGGTGGTGGAGGTGGAAGTGGGGGGCCCGCTGGAGCACGACCTGGAGGAGGTGAGGCGCGCCGGTGCGGGAGGGCGGAGGCGGCGCCCGGCTCGAGGAAGAGCGAGGACACCGTTTGGCTCGTTCGGGGTCTTCGTGGCAGCCTGGCCTGCGCCAGCGTCCTTCGAGCGGGGCTGGACTACAACTCCCATCATCCTCCAGCCTGCCTCCAAGGGGGTGGACCCCCAGTATTACCTGGCCAGCCCTACTAGGGTTTGCACTGGAAGCTCTAGTGACCCTCTATGGGGCGCCTTTTCTATGGTCTTGGACTACACTTCCCATCATCCCCAGACAGCCTCCAATGGGGTCGATTTAGAACTGCCAACATCTCCCAGCCAGGATAGTTGTAGTTCAGCCTCTCTGGAGGCTGACTGGCTAAGGCTGGAAATAACTGTAATCCAACCCCCTCCTCATGGCAGCCCTGGGAAGCCAAGCAGGCTGGTGCCTGGTCGCTCCCGGAGTGTCATGGGGCTTGGCTGGCCCCAGCCTGACTCCCTTAACCACTGTGTTTCGTGGTGTGACAGTTGTTGGTGCCAACTGGTGGAGTGCCGCTGATATGAACGGACCACATGTAGCCAAAGCAAGGAGACGTGTCCCTGCCCTGAGGAGCTTACAATCTAAAGATTGTACAGCAGGGGGAAGAAGATGGAGCCGAAGTCCATAGAGAAAATGTATTTAATTGTGTTTCCTTAAGCTTGGTTTAAAGTTGGGAGGGGGTCCAAGATTGCATCTGTTAATTAGAAAAATCAAGAGTTCATTTCTGTGCAAGGAAGAGGAGTGCAGAAGTCAGTGTATGTTGGACCAGCCAGAAGCTGCTTTGGTGAGGAATCACCCTTGCCTTGCTTTTCCTGCTGCCTTGCTGCTGGCTGGCCCATCTGGACGAGCATACCTCTTCTCGCGGTGGCGTACGCTTTGTGTCTCATTGCTTCCGACCTCGGCCCCGAATTCCTGGCATGGTCCATGTGGTGCAGCCTCCAGGGGACCTGCCCGACAGTCGCTTACCTTCATGCCTACCATCTGATGCATGCAGCACTCTGTAGTACAGGGGTTTCTTAAGCTTTCTAGGAGCTCGCATTGGAGGATGAAGGGGCTGAACTCAGAAACAGCCACAAATGAGCTGCAATGGAACCCGTTGCCCTGGGAGGCGGAGGGCTCTCCCACACTGGAGGCAGCTGGACGGCCCCCTGCCAGGAATGCTTTAGCTGGGAGTCCTGCATTAGGCAGGGAGCTGGACTGGATGGCCTGACCAGTCCCTCACAGCTGCACACCTCTGTGATTCTAGGAGGGGGGCTCAGTCTTCACAAGGCTTGCCGTTTGTATGCATGCTGCCAGGCAAAGTCATGGGCCCCGTGCGACTTGGGAACCGGGTGTTCCAGGGTGCCTGCACCAATGTGCTGCCCCTTGTTCAGGACCTGGAGGGGAGCAGGAGATGGCGGCAGGTCATATCCTAGTGTAATGGACGTTAGGACTTGATGGAGAGGGATAGACCTTGGTCTGCCTGTAAGTAGGGCTGCTGATAGAAAAATGTTATTCTGCTGCTTTGGTACACAGCCCACAGAGATGTGTGGGGATGGAAGCAGCATCAGTAGCAGCAGTTGCTGAGCAAATGCTGGGTTTTTGGAACTGGGGAGTTTCTGAGGTTGGTGCTGTGGGCCACCCACACCAGGATGGGCAAGATCCCTGTACATGTGGCTTGGAGCTGGAACCTGCCTGGCCCACGTGGGTTGCCAGTGCACCTTCAAGGTAGCTGCAGGGTATTTGGACTATCTTAATGGGCCTTGGGAGATTGCTGAACCGGCAGGCTGCTGGGCTTCCCTTCCTCTCGCCCAGAAAAGTTTGCAGCCACTTTGCTTGTCAGGCAAAGACATTCCTGCCGAAAGCCGTTCCTCCTCCGCTAGCTGAAGCCGAGAGACCTGGCCCACGTTCCCCCCGTGGAGCTGTAAACACGAGGCCTGGAGCAAGTCATGTTCGGCTGCCGTCTCATGTTGCAGGAGGAGCAGCTGCCCGGCCTGGATCTCTCCCTGTTGCCGTGCGCTCCCTCCTCCTCGCTTGTCCTTTTGCCCTCTGAAAGGTAAGCTCCTGCAGCCCGTCCGCTGCCACGTGCAGCCAGGGTGGGGCTTGCATCAGCCTTGCGTGTCCTCCCCGTTGCTCCTGGAGTCCCACCACCTGCGGCTCACATTAAGGGTCTCCTGGCATTTCAGGCACAACTCACCTGTGTGCAGCGACGCTGGCGATGCGCTCTGCCCGCTGGACCAAAGCCCCCCAGCCTGCCTGCGCGCAGTGCCTCATTCTCCAAAGCAAATCTCCACATCTGTGGCTCTGCAGGCTGCCCGGGGCTCCTCTTGCTTTGCCCCCTGCCTGCAGCCCCTGCCAGAAAAGGCGTCCCACGCAGCCCTGGCTCTGAGCTCCAGGATGACGAGGAGGATGACTTGGACGGCAGCTCCATGCACACGTACCTGGGAACCCAGTGGATCCTGTTTCGGAATGCGCGTGCCCAGGGTGGCATTAGGAGATGGCTGCTCTCTCCTTGCCCCGAGAGATCCTTGGACCTCTAACAGGATTCGCTGGGCCCAATTCCTGTTCTCGCCTGGGCAGCTTTTATCCTCGCTTTGGACAGCTGGGCCTGGCAGCCCAAAGGCGCTGGTGCCTGCACTCCGCAGGAGCATCCTCCTATCGGCCCGGCACAGACACTGCTTGAAGAGAACCTGGGGGAGGTGGTGTTGGCGCCTGTCGGTGGATCAGGCCCCATCACGCAGCAGGGACAGGCACCCCGTTGGGCCACCTGCTTAGTGGATGCAGTTGCTTGCAGAAGCGCAGGCTGGTGATCCTGCATGGGAGTCACAGAAACAGAGGGAGCCAGAAGGGGTCTCCCGGGCCATCTAGTCTGACCCCCGGCTCCAGCCAGCTACGCTCACGACATGCCCACCATGTGGACGTCCAGCCTATCCTTGAACACCCGCACCGATGGGGCCTCAACGACCCCCCGTGAAAGCCCATTCCACATTCTCAGGGTCCTGACTGTCAGGAAGTGCTTCCTGGCATCCAAATGGAACCTTGGCTCCCTGAGCTTTGCTCCGAGGTTGCAGCCACTTTGGTTGGGCAGCCAGTTCGGTCACCGCAGCCAGCGTGGCCAGCCAGGGGAACTGGGATGAGGCAAGGGCAAGCCCAGCCTGCTCGGAAGAAACCCCGCGATGCTTAGTGGAGGGTCAGGGTGGTGGTCTCCCCGTTCCTGCGAGTGAGCTCACAATGGGGCGGAATGCCCAGGACTGGGACAGTTCTCTGTTTCCTCTGGAGCGCTGTGTTCAACCGCCGGGTGGGCAGGTGGGCGGCCTTTTGCAGGGCTTCCGTGTGGGCGGCTCAGCCGTGTCTGTCTGCCCATGGAGTCTAGATGGCTGTCCTAAAGGTGAGGTTGGCTCCTGGCAGCATCGGCGGCCTCTTTCAACACGGCTCAGGATTCACCTAAAACAGAGGCTCCTTCGGGCCGACAGACACTTCGAGGTGCCGCGCGACACTTGGTGTTCCTGGTGTTGTCGCAGGCTAAAGCGGCAGCCCCTCTGCAACTTGGACGACAGTTCTGGGACGGGTGAGGGGCTTCCGTGCCTAGGCCTGGCTAAGGCGAGGCAGCGGATTGCACTGTGTGGCTCTGATAGGCCGTTCTGCTAAAAAGGGGAAAGGGAATTAGCCTTAACGGGGGAGATGAAAATCTAAAATCCTTCTGGGGCTCTGCAGCCCCTTCTTGCCTTGTGCTGAAGGGTTCAGGTGCCAGCTCACTTTAGGGCCAAAACGGCAATGAGATAACAGTCGTTATTTTAGAAGGGCCAGGGAGAAAGTGTGTAGTACAACCTTCCCCACCCTGGCAGCCTTCAGAGGTGCTTGGACCATGACGCCCAGATTTCCCATCCAGGAGGGCCTGGGCCACGGCCGGGGAACTCTGAGTGTTGCAGTCCAAGCGTGTCTGGAAGGCACAGGGTTGGGGAAGGCTAGTGCAGCAACTTGCACGCAAAGTTAAACTAGCAGGCACTCTTATTAGGAAAAGCGCTTGGCTCGCCAAATGCCATGTTGATTTCTGTTGTTTTAAAGCCCAAAGCGAAGTGGCTTGTTTGGCCATGAAGCAGATGAAGGGCTGGGGGGGCACAGAGGGGCCTTGCCACACCACTCAGCAGCGGAGCTCAGGAGGGCACGGTGGGGAGAGGCAGCTGGAGTGCCCCCCCCCCGCATTCTCCGTGCAGCGCAAGAGGAGCGCCCCGCGCACGGCTCGTCCCGGCCGTCGGGGGGCACGTGCTCCCGCTTGCAGAAGGCGAGGCTCCTCCGCTCCTCGGGTGGCAGCTGGAGGGCAGGCGCTGGCAGCCCACGGGACCGCGTCCCCTGGGGCCCGTGGATGGCCAGGAACTGTTCGGCTGAACGGCCCCCCCGGCGTCCCCCCACCAGACGTGCGCGTCTCTTTCAGGCCGGTGCTGCAGCTGCTTGTTCTTCTCTCCTGCAGGTCGACCTGTCACACCTGGGTCCAGAGGAGAGATGGAGGTGAGTGGAGGGCCGCCCTGACCACCGGCTCCTGGGGGCATGGGCACTCGCCCCGAACACGTCCTTTCCTTCTCAGGGAGCGGGAGGCCACGTTCCCGGGTGCAGCACGATTGTGACGGTTGCAGAAGGGGGCGGGAAAGGTGAAGCGGCCCCTCTTGGCTGTGCTGCTGAAGGCCGCCCCCTGCCCCTTCTCCCCCCTGCCGCCAGCACTCCAAACCCCTGTTGTGGAGGCCGTCGTCCCATTAAGCACTCACCTGACCCCGACCTCCTTGCGGACAAGTGAGCAAGCGAGCAGGTGCAGCCCGCTTCCACATGGCTTCACGTGGAAGCAGGTGCGTGGCCAGAGAAGGGGTGCCCCACAGCACGGGGGGCTAGCATAGGGGACTGGGGCAGGTTTCCGTGCTCCTCCACCCGCCCCCAGTGGGGGGGCAGCGGCTGCAGGCTGCGCGGCAAGGCTGCGGGTGGCCCTCTTCATGCAGCCTGCTCCAGTGCCCGGGCCACGGGGGACGGCCGCCCTCAGCGCTTCCAGCTGTGGCGTGGGTGTGCAGCCCCCCCCGGCCCCCTGGATGGCCGCTCCTTGTGCCCCTCCTGCTTGTGCATTTCAGAAGCACACCTGCGCGGCCCACGTGTCCACCTGAGCAAGGCTGGGCCCCGGAGGAGCCCTCCAGGCAGCCCCTGGGGCGGCTGGCTGAGCGCCTCCGGGGACATCTCAGTCTCAGCCACCCCTTCTGCTGGAAGGACGCCCCAGAAGCCTTTCCCGGCCACGATTCAACCTTCCCAGTGGACAGTGTTTGCTGGGAGGATGACAAAGCTTGCAGAACTAAAACCCAACACGAACAATTAAAAATCTAGCATACGGCACAAATATTCAGGAGTAAAATGTAAAGGAAAACAGCACCAATACCCCCCAGCACAAGGGTTCTCTCTAGAACAAGTGGCACTGGAGGCCCCCCCCGTATACAGATGTCGGCCACCCTTGCAGCGGCCCCCCCCCGGCCGCTCGGAGGCAGCCTCGGGCTGCGGCCCCAAAATTCCACTGTAAGGGCAGGAGTCCTGCTGTGTGGCTGCGTGCTGCTTCCCCGAACGAGCACCTTGGATCGAGCCGGGTGCGTGGCAGCGGGAATCCCCCAGGGGGGTGGGGTGTGGCCCCAGGGGGTGCATCGGCCGTACCTCAGGCGGCTCCTGCCGCTGTGGCCGATCGGCCGGGGCAGTTGTGGCCCTTCCCCACAGAAGCGGCGGCACGCTGGGCGAGCGGGTCCCTGCCGCGGCCCAGGGAGGAGGAGGGGGCTCCGTGGGTGCCGGGCGGGACGCGGTGGGAGGCCGGCTGAGGCGAGGGCGGCGGTGCCGGCAGGAGGCACGGGCTTCCGCCGCCGCTCGGCCGTTTCGCCGTGCCCCGCGGCGGCCTTCAGGCGCAGAGGCGTGTGGCCGGGTGCCTCGGGCGGGCTGCGGGCCCCCTGCCCTGGGCTGCCAGGCCTGACCCGCCACCTTCTGCTTGCAGGGTGGAGCACGCCCAGATGCACGCCAAGCACCGCGGCCACGAGGCCATGCACGCCGAGATGGTCCTCATCCTGATCGCCACCCTGGTGGTGGCCCAGCTGCTCCTGGTGCAGTGGAAGCAGAGGCACCCGCGCTCCTACAACGTAAGCCTCCGCCGGCCCTCCCGGGCGGCCCTCCCGGGTAGCCCCCTGGAGGCCCCCGCGCACCGTGGGCTGAGGGGAGCGGTGGCCCCGTGGCCAGGACCCCTTCTGCATCGGGCGCTCTCGCTCCGGGCAGGCCTCTCCCTGTGTTCGCAGGGGCCATGAGGCCCAGGAGCGCAGGGGCGTGTGCGGAGGACAGCCAGGCCTGCTGCCCACAGCGCTCCGGGGGCCCGGCCTGCGCCGGCTCGCTGGGCAGCAGAGGCGTTGGGTGGCGCTGTGCCCGCTGGAGCCAAGCGGCTTGCTTTCGGAGCTGCCCCCTGGGCGCACTATTTCACTGTTGCTCCCAAACTGAAGCGGGAGCCCCCACACACCCGGGGAGCTGTCCCTGGGCAGCTCCATGGGCTCGACGGAGACAGGGCGAGTGCCCTTGCTGCGTGGGCCGGCAGGGCCCCTCTTGCTCCTGGGTGTCCAGTGCAGTGAGCCCCTTCGTGCACGGATGGGTGTCTGCTTTGGGGTGGCCGGGGGGTCAGCAGGCCCTGACCTCCGCTTGCCCAGGTGCCCACAAGGCTAGTGTTCCCACCACCACAGTGGCTCGAGCTCCGGCTGCGGAGCGGCCCTTGAGCACCTCTGAGGGACAGCAGCGGTGAAGGGGCAGGCGGTTTGGGGTGCCTTGGGCAGCGAGAGGGAACCCCCGGCAGCAGGCTGCCTTTTCGCCCCCCCTTCCCCAGCGGCGCTCCCCACAGGGGCGGGAGGACTGACCGAGGCCACCGGAGAGCCACTTCCCTGCATGGGGCACTCACAGAAATGCAGAAAGAGAGCGAGCCAGAGGGTCCTCCTGGGCCATCTAGTCTGACCCCCGCTCCGCTCATGACGTGCCTGCCACGTGCACATCCGGGCTGTGCTCGAACGCCCTCGCCGAGGGGGCCTCAGCCGCTCGGGGCCGCAGGGCTCAGCGGGAGCACGACGAGGCACGTCTGGCCGCTCCTCCTGTGGGGAGGGACCTTCCTTATCCCCAGCCCAGCTGCCCTTCTCCCGCCGGGGGGGTGAGCTTCGGGCCCTGCTTTTAGTGTTAACCGGCCAAAGCCGCTGGCTCTGACGAGAAATGTGGCAGATTGTGCTTGTGCTCGTAGGAGATCTGGGGAAGCTGGCCTTCCTCGTGTCGCCGGGCGCCAGCTTGTGGCTGTCTTGCCCCGGTTCCTTGCTGTGAGCGCGGACGGCTGCCCCGGGACACTCGCCGTGACGGGCCGGGTGGCTCGGAGGAGCAGGGCGGGCGCTGCGGGTGCGGCGTGCAGTGCAGGACCCCCGCGTCAGCGTCCCGGGGACCATGCCCCGGCCCTCCCGCCTCCGAGCGCTTCCCTCGGGCCGGGTCGTGTCGTTGCAGATGGTGACGCTCTTCCAGATGTGGGTGGTCCCGCTCTACTTCACAGTCAAGCTGCACTGGTGGCGGTTCCTGGTGATCTGGGTGGTCTTCTCGGCCATCACTGCGTTCGTCACGTTCAGGGCGACTCGTAAGCCCCTTGTGCAGACCACCCCCAGGTGAGCGAGAGCCCCTCGGCGGCGGGGGGGCAGGGGAGCGCTGCCTCCGCTTTGCTTCCAGCGTTTATCCGCGCAAGTGTATTCGTGGGCTTCTCTGCACACGAAACGCGGCTGCTTCCTCCCGTCGTGGCTTGTGGCAAATTAGTTGATTAAGAACAGTCTCATTCCTTGGCAATTCCAAGTGAGTTAAAATCAGACTTTTAAAAAACCCTTCAAAATATTAATATTTTGTGAAAATCTCTTTGTATTGATCCTTGTAATTGCTGTTTCTGAACTCTGATCGTGCTTCCGGAGTTTGGGTCCAGTATTCAGGAAGCAGGAAGGCTGCCGTTTGGACCCCGTGAGCTGAGGCACACGCTTCCAGCCAGAAGCAGGGGAGAGCGTGTGATGGTCCTTCGTGCTGGAAATAGGTTGTGGCACCACGTTTTTGGTGTTCAAAGTGTGGGCTGCGAAAGCTTCTGCCATAATGCAGTTGTTAGTTTTTGTTGTTCTCCAACGAAGGTGCACCAAGAACTGTGCAGGTGACCTGGATTCTGGTTTTGTACGAACAAGAGCCAGTAAGGGAGGAAATGTGCATCGTAACACATTGAAAAATGGATTTGAGCATGTCCAGTGCCTTGATTGCAGACCTGTTGTTTTGCTTGAGGGCTTTCACAACAGGGTGGACCGGGCCATTTTTTGTGCCAAAGGAAGGCTGTACAGTAAAATTCCCAGCTCTTTAGGAAGCAGAAAACATTTTAGGCTCCCGATGTTTTAGCGTCCCCTTCTAACAGTTGCCTCTGCTGTGCCGTTGTTTTCCTCGCTTCCCCCTGCCCTGCCGTGCCCCCAGGTTGGTGTACAAGTGGTTCCTGCTCATATACAAGATCAGCTACGCCGCGGGCATCGTCGGGTACATGGCCGTCATGTTCACCCTCTTTGGACTGAACGTGCTATTCAGGTGAGCGCTTCCGCCTGTCCGTGGCGTGGCAAGAGGCCACGTGGACTGCGAGCCCCGGCCAGCGTGCTGCGGACTTCCCGTGGCCCCCGCAGTCTGTGGCACGCACAGGCGGCCTGTGGGCGGGCCAGGCGCAACTCCCTGGGGTGCAGGAAGGGCAGCTGGGGAGCGGGGTGGGCACGTGGCCTTGCCTGCAGCGGGTCCGCCGGGCACGGTCGTGTGTCCCCAGCGTGGGGGGGGCATCCGCTGGGTTGCCTGGGTGCTTGTCAGCCTGGCGGTGGCCCTGGGCCCGATCCCTGGGGCACGCCCAGCTCCGGCAGGGCACCCACTGGGGCTGATCCCCAGGGCTGTTCGCGCAGCTGCCCTGGCCAAGGAGGGCTGGGTGCGAGCTGCCCCGGGAGGTTGTCCCACGGGGCTCGCCAAGGCGCAGCCCCGTTCGGCCACCGGCCACAGCCTCCCCTGTGCTGCCGCAGCGGCCGTGAGCCGGCACGGATGGAGGTGGCCCGCTGCCCAGCCCGTTCCTCAGGCGATCGTGGCTTCTCAGCCCGGGTCGCAAGACCGGCCCCAACACAAGCGGGAGCCCGCAAACGCCGCTGGAACAGGGCTCTCCCAGCCAGGCCGGCCTGGCCCCACTGGCTGCGCACGCGTTGCAGGGGTGGCCCGCGTTCCCGGGAGCCACGCTCCGCCTGAGGAGTCGCACGCCTGGCCCCTCCGGCGTTGCCCGAGATGCTCGCCCACGCTCCACGCCTCACGCCTGGTCGTCCCACTGCTGCGTCCAGGCGTGTCGGCCTCCCGCAAGCTCTGTCTGAATGCGGACGGGCTAAGTGAGAGCGGGGCGGAGCTGCAGGCGGGCGCCCAGGCAGTCCTGTGGGGCACCTGCTGGGGCGCTCCCCTTCTCCCTTCTCTGTGCGCCTGGGGACCTTTAGTGTCCGTTCGTTTGGCTGGTCTGGTTTGGTAGAATGGGGTGTGTCCCCCGCCTTTCTGGCAAGGAGAGGGCGGCTCGCACTCCCGTGCTTGGGCCAAGGAACTTGTGTAAAACAGCAGGAGGACAAATATGTTAAAAGCACAAGAGAAAAAGCAGGAGAAAAACGGCACCAGGCCGGCACAGCCGCTGGCATGCTCAGGGCTCGAGCCAAACGCCTTGCCGGCCAGTGCAGGCGAGCAGAGGGGCCGGAGCGGCCCTCTCGGCAGGGAACTGCGGAGCCTGGGGCAGCCACCGAAGCAGCGCTGGCCACAGAAGGGGTCTCTCGAGTGCTGAGGGGTCTCCTGGCGGAGCCCCGGAGCCCCGACCTCGGTGCCTCTGTTGCTTAGCCCACCCCGTCAGGGTGACGATCAGACCTGAGCGAGATCTGTGCCAAAGATCCCGGGTTCGTGGCGAGAGGGCCCCGGGGCGAGGGGGCGGTGGGAAGGGGGAGGACAGAGGGCCTCCACCAGGGGGTGCCCTGGAGCTGGGCTTCAAATGGTGGGAAGGCCTTGCGTGGCTCTTGCCTGGATTCCGGAAGTCTCTGGAGAAAACCCTGTTCGCACATTCAGCAGGGGCAGAACCTGCTTTGTTGCAGAGAGAATCAAACGTCTCGGACTGCCCACTCTTGGTTCCACACTCACACTGTGGAATGCGCTTGTGTGCTGAATTGCGTGGAGCGTCTGGCACAAGAAGCAAGAACGCAGAGCGTGAAGGGGAGCCACGCTGCGGCCCTTCCGGAGCACACGCCCCGAGCGCTGCTCCGCAGCCGTGGGAATTCAGCCAGGGCAGCCCCTGGCAGCGAGCGCCGCCTGGCGGGGCCCCACCGCTTGGGCCGACATGGGGCTCCCGGGCCACCTCCTGAACACGCCTCTCCCTGGAAGGGGCTCGGCTGGGGCTGGCTGGAAGGACGGCGCACCGGGACCCCAGGAGGCCGGCGGAGGGGCAGAGGGTGCGCCGTGCCGTCCGCCGGCGCACGGCTGACCCACGGCTGTTCCCCAGTAGGATCAAGCCGGAAGATGGGATGGACTTTGGAATCTCACTCCTGTTCTACGGCCTCTATTACGGAGTCCTGGAGCGCGACTTTGCGGAAGTGTGTGCCGACTACATGGCGTCCACCATCGGGGTAAGACTTGCGGGTCCCACACTCGGGCCGCCCTCGGCTTCTGCGTCCTCCGGAAGGAGCCCTGAGCCAGGACGCCTCAGCGCAGCTGGTGTGGAGGCGGCCCTCCCGTCCCGGCGATTCCCGGCACTCGCAGCTCAGCCCGGGCGGTGGGCCCCGCAAAGCGGTCCAGGCGGCTGCGCTGCCCCGCACTTTGCTCACACGCCACTCGGCTCTGTCGCTCCGCACGCCTGAGCAGATTCCCCCTTCCTTCCTCTTGCGAGGACCCAGGAGGCCGCTCAGCCGCCCCACTCTGGGAGCCAGGCGAGGCCGAGCCCGGGCCCCTCGGCTGGGCCGCTCGGTCACCCCGGCTCTCCATCCCTCTGGGAGGAGCCCGGGTCTGTCACGCCTCCCCATTCGAAGGCCGCTGATCCCACGTGGCGGGAGCTGCCTCGAGTGGCCCTCCGTGGCCGCCCACTGGTCAGGCCTGGCGGCGTTCCTGCCCCCCCCCCTTGGAATGCCCGATCCGTTTGTCCGATCTGAACGTTCCTTCTTCCATTTTGCTTGCTCCTTAAGGACTTTCCCCAACTTGGCGCCCTCCAGAGCTGTTGGACTGCAGCTCCTACCAGCCCAGCCACCATGCTTATCCTCGGCCGGGGATGATAGGAGCTGCGGTGCAGCCCACCCGGTGTGCTCAGCTGGGGAAGGCTGCTGCAGATGGAAGGCGAAATTTGACTCGCTGCCTGTACCTTCCTGATTTCTTATTTATTTAAAATGGTTATGTGCTGTCCCAGTACTGAAAGTCTCCGGATGGCTTACCGAACACCCCTTGATGCTCAAGTCCCCGTCCCTCGTGCTTCCTCGGCATGGCCCCTGCGGCTTCCTCCTCCTCTCCTCCTCCCAGTAGTCCGGGGGTGGCCAGGCTGAGGCCTCGGCTCGCCGAAAGCCCTGTGCCTGAGCCCTCCGGGTCCCGTCCAGCGCGCTTCGCTGGGCCACGCAGACTCAGGTGTGCGCGTGAGTCGGGAGCCGCGGCCTGGGCCCCCACGCGCCTGCTGAGCCGCGGCCCCCGTGCTCAGGTCTGCCCCCGCAGTCCTCGAGGGGCAGAGCCGGGAAGGAGCCGCCGGCTGCCCCCGGTGCCCCCGTGCGCTGGGGGGGAGCGCAGGGCGCGTGGCAGGGGACCGGGAGTGGCCTCACGCCGGTCCTCCGTCTCCCGCCCCGCCGGCCGCTGCCGCGCGTGCAGTTCTACAGTGCGTCGGGGATGCCCACCAAGCACCTCTCGGACAGCGTGTGTGCCGTGTGCGGCCAGCCCATCTTCGTGGACGTCAGCGAGGAGGGCATCCTGGAGAACACCTACCGGCTCTCCTGCAACCATGTGTATCCTTGGCGGCCCGTCCGGGCGGGCCGTGGCGCGTGGGAGCCACTCGAGGGCCGAGCCCGCCCGCTGCAGGGCCTCCCGGCAGAGGCTTCCTGGGGGGGGGCTGGGCAGAGGCGCTGCCCCCCGGGAAGGCAGCACCTCCGGGGCAATTTGGTTGTGCGCCAGCGGCAGCCCCCCCCGTCCCCATCCAGCCAGAAGCACAGATGGGGGGCAGCATTCTTGCTCGTGGGCTCTCAGGAGGGCGAGGGGGCAGCCAGTCCATGGAGGGGAAGGAGCGTGGTTTTGCTTTTGGCCCGAGCAGGCGGCCCCTGCCCCGTGGCAGCAGCCCCGGTGTGCCGTTCAGTTCACACAACCACAAGAGGGGGCCCTTTCCACTCTTCCCCGGATTCTCCCGGATCCCCATGTTCATTGCTGCTCCTTCGAATGTCATCGGAAAATCAAAAGTGTGCATTTTGAACAGAAAAATACCCATTTTTAAAATGCACCGAAAAGGTGCGCTTCCTCCCATAGAGGAACTTGTGGAAGAGGCATCCTTTTCGAGGGCGAATAGAAGTTCCTTTTCTGGAAGACACGCTCCCGGTTGCGCTCATGGCCTTGAATGGGGCGTGCTCGCATGCTTCGTGAGCATGAGTAGCGTCCACAGGCGTTCTGGACTGAGAGTCCGAGCTTTAGGAGAGCATTATGCATGTCAAGTGGAAATGCTGAGCGAGCGGCTGGCCGTGCTCTTGAGCCCAGGCGCTTTTCGGGCAGGCTGGGCTCCCTGCCCCTCTGTGGAGCCCGCGCAGTTTCCAGGCCGCTGCTGGCGGAGACGCTGCAGCTTGCGGTTGACGCTGCCAGTCCGATGAGGCCACCTGAGCGCTGGTGGCTTTGCGGCTTCTTCGAACCCGTGCCCAGACATAGAAACATAGAAACGGCACGTCAGAAGGGGCTTCCGGGCATCTAGTCTGACCTCCGGCACCAGCTGGTTCCGCTCATGACATGCCCACCATGTGGACGTCCAGACCTTTCCTGATGGGCCGCCTCACTGCAGGGCCCTGGGATGCACGTGCGAGAAGGCGTGGCGGGGATCCGGCAGAGCCCTTGCCCACGAGGCGTGCCGTGCCGTGGGGTGGGAACCAGAGGGATGCAGCCCCCCCCCCCCCCGCAAAAAACTGGCCGGGCACGAAGGACCAGCATCCCTGCGCCGGCGGCAGGCCCGGGCACCCCCGTTCTGGCTGCCGTGCGCAGGGCCCTCACCGTGGGGCTGTCCATACACCCCGCCCCCTGTGGCTCCCCTGTGGCTGCCGCAGAGCAGGGCTCCCCTCCCGGGCACGAACAGCTCGTCCCCACTCGGGCCGGAGAGGGGCCGTGGGGAGGTGCCGGGCAGAGCGCAGGAGCGCCGTGGCTGGAGTGCCCCCGGCCGAAAACGCATGGCCCACGGAGCTGGCGGCCCTCCGAGCCCAGCAGCCCCGGGATGGCCTGTGGCGCCCCCCCCCCCCCGTGCCAGGGGTCCCTCGCCCATGGCTGCCCCCCCGCCGTGAGCGTGTCCCTCCTTGACGCGCCCGCCCAGCTTCCACGAGTTCTGCATCCGCGGCTGGTGCATCGTGGGCAAGAAGCAGACCTGCCCCTACTGCAAGGAGAAGGTGGACCTGAAGCGCATGTTCAGCAATCCGTATCCTTCCTGGCTGTGTGGGGGGGGGCTGGGGGGTGACCTCCGGGGGGCGCTCTGCCGGCAGCTCAACGGGTTTATACCTGGCCGTGGGGCCTGTGCTCCAGGGGGGCCACGGGGGGGGCACGGGGGGGCACGGGAGGGTTGGGTCCCCCCCTCCGCCCTTCTACTCAGAGGCTGGGTCCGTCCCTCCCCCTGCTGCCAGGTGGGGAGGGGGAGAGCCATCTCCTTGCCAGCGGGCCCACATTTGAGGGGAACGGTTGCCCCGGGCAGGGCACGGCACGGGGGACTTGGCTGTGCTAATGGGCCGAGCCCGAGGTCAGCCGAGGCCGGGAAGGGCCTTGGGGCAGCGTGGCCTCGGACCGTCCCTCGTCCGCTGGCGGCCGCCTGGCGCTGCTAGTCCCCGCACAGCTCCCCGGGCCGCCCGGCGATCGGGGGGGGGGGGTCTGGCCGCAGCCCCCGCAGCGTGCCTCGTCCCAGGAGCAGCCACTGCCTCTTCCCGAGCGCCTCCTTGAAAGGGCCCGGCAGGCCCGGCGGGGGTGGAGGGCAGAGCCCCGTCTTCCCACTCCCGCACGTCCCGGCGTGGCTCTCGTGCTCTGGGCTCCCACCTCGCCGGCACGTGGTGCTCGCGGCAGAGCGGGGGGCCGAGGGGCTGCTTCTGCCTGCCGGCCAGGCGGCTGCCCTCCCTCCGGCCGGCCGGGACGGCCGTGGAGGGGCCGCGCTCCGTCGGCCGTGCGTGGGGCCCCGTCTGGGCGGCCTCGCTGCGGCCCGGTGGGGCTGCGCCCCGTGCGTGCCGGCAGCGGGGCCGGGAGGGGGGCCGCCCGCTGCCGCGCCTGCTTCCTTAACGCCCGCTGTCCAGCTGGGAGCGGCCACACGTCATGTACGGGCAGCTGCTGGACTGGCTGCGCTACCTCGTGGCCTGGCAGCCGGTCATCGTCGGCCTGGTGCAGGGCATCAACTACGTCCTGGGGCTGGAGTAGCCGCGCTTCCTCCCGCCTCCGCCGGCACGCGCCTGGGAGCTCGCCCACGGCCCGCGTGGCAGGGGTGGCGCGGGGGCCCGGCAGAGGCGCGGCGCCACCACTCGCCTCTCGGGGCCGCGGCCCCTGCTCGCCCGGCTGGACTGGCCCGCTGGACCGGAGGGACTCCGCACGAGGCAGAGGGCGCCGACGCCGCCAGTGCCGCCGCTGGGTTGGGAGGGAGAAGGGCCCGTCTTTTAAAGAAAGTTATTTTAATGAGCATATTTAAAATCTTTTTATTGCCGATGTAAAAGGAGGTAGGTTTTCCTTGCCCCTCCCCTCCCCTCCCCTCCCCTCCCCTCCCCTCCACTTCCTTACTCGCTCTGGAACGAAGCAGCGGCAGCCGCATCCCCCGCCCTCCTCTCGCTGCCAGGCCGTCCCCCGTGCGGCCGGGCCGGTCCGCGCCCTCCAGCCCCACGGATGCAACGCCTCGGCCCGGCCCTGCTGCGCCTGCATGCTGCCCAGGCTGGGGGGGCCGAGGCCCCATGCTCAGGGGCGGCAGGGCCTCCTTTGCGTGGCCCCCCGGGTGCAGGGCCTCTGGCCCAGGCTTTGGTGAGGAGGAGCCGGCTCGGCTCGGCTCGGCCTGGCCTGTGGGTCTGCTCCTGCTCAGGGAGGGCCTGCCCCTCTGTCTTGCACTCCCCGCCCCCGGGCAGCCGTCCTTTCTGTGGCCTGGTGCGTCTCCGCGGAGCCCCTGCCCAGGCTGTCCTGCCCACTCGCCCCAGACGCTCGGGTGACGCTGGGCACGTGCCCGGCGGGGGAGGCCTGGCGGAAGAGGCGGCAGCGGGATGCCCCTTGCCGGCGGCGCTTGGGCACGGCCAGGGCAGCGCGCCGCTTGCAGCTGCCTCGGTGTCGGCACGGGCGCGGAGCTGCCGGCTCGGGAGGGGAGGCGCTGGGGCTTGGACCAAGGGCTCATGGCTGCCCGGAAGCCCCAGCGCGCCATCCGGGGCTGTGCGTGCGCCTGGCCTGCACCTGGAGGGAGGGCCGCTCATTCCACGGAGCCCCCCCAGACGCTCTGGGCGAGCCGAAGGGAGCCCTGGCTGACTGGGGGCAGCCGCCGGGGGCGCAGCCGGCCCTTCCCAGGCAAGCGGTGAGTCGCGTGAGCTGTTGCTGAGCCGCTTGGTGGCCCCGCGGGACGGAAATTCTCGGATTGCAGCCGGGCCGGGCATGCCCAGCCTCGCCCAGGAGGTTTTCCGTCCCCCGGGCCCCCTGAGTGTGCTTGGCAAGCGCTTCCCATCAGACGGAGTCACAGAAACGGGCCGCCCACAGAGCCGCCTTTGGGAGGGGAGGCCGGCCGGCTTTGTGGGCGGCCCATCGCAGCCGGGCAGGCCTTCCCCCGTCCGCCGCCCGTGCGTGCCGAGCGGGCCTGCCCAGCCCCGACGAGCGAGCCGGTTTAGAGAACGTGCTCCCGACAGGGCAGGATCATGTGTGGACGAGCCCCCCCCCCCCGCCAGGGGTCGGCCCCCCTCTGCCCTCGTCACATGTCTCCAAACAGCTTCTGCCGGGCTCCTGGGCCTCTTGCAGGTGATGAGCCTGCACACAGCGGGCGAAGGAGCCCGGCGCGGCGGTGGAGGCCCGGGGGGCGGCCTCGATCGTCCGCCAGGGGGAGGTGGTTCAGCTGGGGCCGAGCGAAGCCACGTGTGGGGTGTCTCCCCAGGCCAAGCGAGGCAGCACCGTGTCCCAGAACGTTTGGCTGCCTTCATCTGCACTGCCTAATTCTCTAAAACCGCGTCATAAATTCCCCCCGACTGCTTGCTGTTCTGATTTCAAAGATCCCAGGGCGCGCCGGGCATGGCAAGAGGTCTTCGAAACGCCTTCTACGGAGAAGGGAGAGGGTTGCTTTGGGTTCCTTTGTCCAAAGCCAGGCTCTCGTGTTCGCATCCAGACCCGCGAAGGAAGCCTGAACTCTTCCCACGGTGGTGCCGCGCACCACGCATCACGCGGGTCGAGCCTTGCGGTCCCGAGTGGCACTGTCGGTTGGCAGCTCTGCTCCTTTCACGGGGGCGCCTGTTCGCCACCCGGCACGTTCCTTCCTCTGCCTACGAAACGGTCTCTGGCGTTGCTCTTTCTGTTGGTCAGCTGCCCTCGGAGAGCGGCGCTCCGGGGCGCATGCCCGCCCTTCTGCGACCCACATGGTATGAGCCGCCCCGAGAACAGGCTTGGGGAGTCCCAATATTTGCAAAAGTACAGGAACACTGTGGGGGCCAAAATAAGCAGCCGGCTCGATGGGGCCGCGTGTGCGCGGCGGATGTGGAACGGCGACTGGCTGCTGGGGCACAGGAACGGAACGGAGCATGCGCGAAGAGGACTGGCTGGCGGGCCGGCTGAAACACTAAAAGGAAAACAGCTCTCCGTACGGCAGCACTGCCCTTTCTGAAGCGAAATTTCCTTCTGTGCCAAAAATAATCTAGAATAGAATTTGTCCAAAGCCGAACGGTTCCGAGCTCGTTTAGAAGCCCGGCCCGGCCCGGCCCGGCCGCGCGCGTGTTACCGAGTAACCGTCTGAACGCTGCTGGAGCAGGCGAATTAGCACTTTGGCGTTATCCAGGCAGGTGAATTTTTTAAGTGATACTTTGTTTTGAAAATACTTCTGGGTGCATTGGAAGAAAAATAAATAAAGGAAAATAATTTTGAGAACTCTTTACTGTTACTTGAAAAGTCTGGAAGCAGCTCCATATCCTGCATTCGGGACTTGACGGGAGACTGCTTCCTCGTGCAAACGGGTCTGGGCCGCAGGAGCCATTCCAGCAGTTGCAGCTGCGGACGGGGGCCTGGGGTGGCGCCCTGCGTTCCCTGGAGATGCTCGTGATTGTGTGCTGGGGGCTTGTGTGTGTTTGCCGGAGCACACTGTTTCCAGCAGTTTTCTATGCTAAGACACGTCCGGACACACTTAAACTTCAAGGAACACTTGCACTGCACAGAAGAGAAAACCCGTGGAGCGCCACACTGCAGTCGCCTCTGAGGGGAGCCGGTGTGCGGACAAGAACTGGCTCAGGGGCAGGGGGCGCACGCTCGTCTGCTGCCTTGTCTGGCCGTGCGCATGGGCACGGTGTGGCTGGCCGGAGAGCGGCTTCCGTGTGGGGCTGCCCTCTTCTCTCTGGGGTTCCCTTGTGGAGGAAGGAGGGGCCACCTGGATGGAGCAAGAAAGGACCTCGCTCTTGTTCTGTTGGGTCGGGTCCCCCAGGCAGACGCTGGAGCCCGAACGGGAATCCGGGAAGCCATTCCTGGTGAGCGTCTGCCTTCCAGCTCCTGCCGGGGTCTCCCCGTGGTCGCTGGAATGTTCCCCTGGACAGCGGGCTTTCCTTCCTGTGTATTTCTGCTTTATCCACTCCGGGCAGGAATTCCCTGGTCGTGTTCATTACGTCTTGTCCTCTCCGCAGCCCAGTCCCCCGGATCGGAGCCCGCTCATCCTGCCTCCCGGAGCTGCAGGCCAGCCCCTCGCCGTCGCCTCACGTGCTCTGGCAGCTCTGAGCTGCGCAGGTGCTCCTCCTCCTCGCGACCTTTCTCCAGCGTGAGCCCCACCAAGAGGGACGCCTCAGTCGCGAGAAGCTCCCCCGGCTCCATGTGGCCCCCCTGCACGCGCCTCGTTCTGTTCTTCGGCTGCTGCTGTGGCCGTGGAGCTTCGCCATGGGGCAGGAGCGAGGGCACCACGGCAGGCGCTGCTTTCGTGGGACGGGCAGCCCACATTTCAACGAGATCGGCAGAGGAGTGAAGGGGAAGGAGTCCAGGGCTGGCTCTGGTCCCGCTTCCCCAGGTTGCCCTTGCAGTCGATGGTGCTTCTCTTTAAGTGTTGGAAGGAGGCCGAGAGCTGCTGGGCCACTGCGGGACTAGATGGTCCGGTCCAGAGGGGCGCTGCTCCTGCCTCGTGCAGTGGTGGGTGCCCTCCCACTGTGAGTCTCCCACAAGAACTTGCACCCCACGCTTCAGCCTGCGGGGGCCGTTGCTAAAGGCCCCACGCTGTTCCCAGCATTGCTGCCCATCCTTGCAGGGGATCGGTGACCTGCAGCGGGGCGCGCTCGGCTGCCTGCTTTGCCGTCTCCCCGGCAGCACGCGTTCTTCTAACGGCTGGTGATCTGGGGAGGGGTGCAGCTGCCCTGTCCCTTCAGCCATGGAGTTGCTGTCCTTTGGCCTCGCGCTCTGGTGGCCCAGCAGCCACGTCTCCACTGAATGGTTTGAGTGGCAAGGGAGCAACTGCCCTCGGCGTGCGCCCCAGGCGTCCCCAGCTCCATCCGGACGCTGGAGAGTCCCCCAGGTGGGCTGCCACGCAGAAAGTGGCAGGCACGGACTGACCCTGACCTTCCTCCGAAGGCGCCCGTGGTTTGTGGGCTGATGCGGCACACCCAGAAAACTGGCGGTTTTGCTGTGATGCATGCGGCGGTGAAGCAGAAATGACGACAAGCCGTCGTACCTCGGACACATCATGCGAAAGGAAGACCCCCTGGGGAAGCCTGTGCTGGGAAAAGTCGAAGGCGCATGGGGAAGGGAAGGCCCGGAGCAGGCTCAACGTGAGCCAGCAATATGATGCAGCTGCCAAAAGGGCAGGTGCTATTTTGGGATGCATTAGCAGAAGTGCTACTTCCAAATCACAAGACGTAGTACGAGTTCCCCAATACTTCTCACTAGTCAGATCTTATCTGGAATACTGTGTCCAGTTCTGGGCACCAAGATTTAGGAAAGATGCAGAAAAATGAGCAAGGGTCCAGAGGAGGGTGACAGAAACGATCCAGAGTTTGGAAACTGCCCTGTGAGGGGAGACTGAGAGAACTGGGCATGTTCAGCCTTGAGAAGAGGAGGCTGAGGGGGGACATGATCTCCCTACAGAAGGACCTCCAAGGCTGTCACAGAGAGGAAGGCCAAGGTCTCCCCCCACTGATGCCAGAGTGCAAGACACCGAATAATCAAGTCAAGCTGCGGCAACCCAGATTCAGGCTGGGCATCAGGAAGAGCTTCCTCACCGTCAGAGCAACTGCCTGGAGGCGTGGGGAGCTCTCCCACGCTGGAGACATTCACGAACAAACTGAACCGCCGCCTGAGTGACGTGGTGTCCTGCAACAGCAGGGGTTGGTCCCGAGGACTTTCCTGGCCCCTTCCCACTGCT